TTTTTTTTTTTTTTTTTTTTTAGGAGTTCATTTACGAATTTTTCCCTCAAGAGCCTCAGTGGCAGTTACTGCCAAGACCAATAACGCTAAGACAATTCGAAGCCCTGCCATTCGTTCGGTCTTTATTTTTCCGATATGGGCTTAGTTTCACCGATCCCTTGCTGCAAGCTGTTGTCCAAGTAATATCTTATTTATTCAGTAATATTCGTTTAAAACCACATTTACACTATACGTTTCGTTTGAATGCTCTAAAGTCATCACATATTCCAGGCCGATAAGTCAGGTGCAGCTACTATTTCAGTTAGTATGTGTCGAGAAGCACTGGATACGTTGATATTCCATTATAATTTGAAGTAACTTCAGGAATAACTAATTATGCTCATTGAGTGTATTTTTTATTGTAAAAGAGCAACTTAAAAAAGTCTCGTCGTTGTTCAACGGGCAATTTAAAAATTAAAATTTACCATTTCATTTTCACTACTGTTTTGGCTTGAGGATTAACTGGCAGTGAAGTCTTCAGCAAAACAGCAGACTTACTTCTTTCCAGATTTTACGACGGAGAAGAAACGGAACTGAACGGTTACAGTCTGAAAAGGTTCGTAATGCAGTCTGTGGTTGGTGATGCAGCAGTATTTCGGGTCCATTGTCCATCTACTAGGCCGATGCTACTGGATATCTTTGCAAATGCTGTAACACCTGGACATTATCTTACCGGACAACCAATTAAATTTAAAAGCGTTTGTAAATTTAAGGTACCATTAAGCAACTGTTGCTGTTTACAGTAGGGGATAAAGTAAACCCTTAATTTTTCTGGACGACTTTAAGTCAAAAGTACTACTGAGGAAAATTCTAAAAACATTGGATGTACTATTATCTCGTTCACAGTAAAGAAATTGTCTTTGTTTAGATAGTGTGTGAGCAGTTAAATGTTATAATGGTTCCGCTACCTGAGTGTGCAAGCGGAGAATGGGGACCAGCCAAAGCATATCGGCTTTTTGGTCTTATACCGGTGTCACATGAGGATGCAATTATTAACAGCGATAGATATCTCGACATCAAGTTTAGGTGACCTGAAGTTTTCCTCTTCCCTTCTTCCTATGCAAATTATTTGCCACAGATGATTTATACGCCTGAACCAGTTCTAAACACCACTGGCCCTATGTTACAGAATGTCAAAGCCGCTAGCTGAATTTGTGGCTTCGTTGCATCGCAACAATGTTAGCGAAAGAATGCTACAACGTTACTGTCAAGCGTCAATCAGAGGAGATTTAGTTTCCATTCGCATTGAATTTCCTGAAGAAGGCCAATATGGGCTCGACATTTACACACGGTAAATACCTGCTGTCTTTTAAATCAGAAAGTGACCGAATTTCAATAAAGTGGCTAGAATAGCCAAGAAAATTCGTCACTTAGAAAAGTGACCTAGACTATTTGTGCAAAAACTTCTAATTAAACCACCAGTTTTCTCGACACATAACCTATTCGTTATAATGATTTCCCATTTAATACCAAAGAAAAGGTATGCTGTTTTTCCTTCTTGTCCTGGAGAGCAGCATGCCAATCATCAAGTGACTAAATGAAATACTTTTTTAACTCTACATTAATTATTAAAGGAGTTGTACGAATCGAATGTTACAGTTTCAGGGAGAACCATTCCCACTCAGTAACAAACGGCAAGCAATTATTAACTCACTGCTGTAAGTACTTAATAAATGCCCGTGTATAGGCATCATAAAACGCTGGCAAGAAATAGTCCCACTATCTTAGCTACCTCGATAATTTCAAGTGGCACTAAACGGCATCAATTGGCATATACAGGTTCACCGCTATATGTAAATTAGTCATCTCCCCCTTTGAAGTCCCCTTCCACAATTAGTCCACTACCGCAGTGTGCGCTCGTCCGGAAACAATGGGCTGAGTGGATGGTGGGAGTGCCACTTGTAAACCCATTGCTACCGCAGCTGCCGGATCCCTTCAGCACGGTGTTTCACAAGATAAACTGCTTTAAAAGCATCAGTTGTAAGGCTAGGAAGCCTCTCAATAAGAAACGTTGGTATCGGCTACTTTCCTGGGCGCACCACTGATTTCTCTGCTTTGATAGCATTGGATGCCTGCATAATCCCATAACAAAAAAATGATTTCGCCCCCATGTATAGTATGAACCTTTAAATTTCCCAATATCTTAATAATTTAATATTGCTTACCAATTGTATAAAAAATTTTAACATGAACGTGATGAATCCCGACCGAAGTGATTGTGATCAGAATTGCCTAATAAAATATTAATTCCTTCATTGTTTAAATCCATCTCACAGAAACAGAGAGACAAACAACTTAAAAATGTATAATATGTCTGGAAAAAACAAAATGATACAGGCCTCTCCTAACGTCCCAATCGAAACTGTTATTGGTGACGGCAGCAGACCCTTATTATACAGTAAAATACAGACAAACGACACAACAAAAGAGCTTTTAAAAGATTTTCAGCGCATCATACCAGACGTCCTGACATCGCAAAAATCAGCACTTCTCGCCTCTTCTTCTTCGATTTGCTTTATTTCTAGGATCCGTCGGCTCATACCACTCCTCACTTTCTTCCCTCAAATTTGCATCTTTTGCCTGAGTTGGTTCGCGTTGGCCTACTGGTACTTCAAATCTGTGTCTTGCGCTGCAGTATGTAAGATAAAAAGCATCATCTTACTGCGAAGAATGAAAAAATTGATACCAAAATAATTAATTAAACAAAAGCATATACTGCAGCAGAAATTGCACTTACAGACGACTGGCAATCAGGCTGACTGCAGCTGCACCCGACTTGTCCGGATTTTCGAGCTCTGTGGATGCATCAGCACTGCCAATTTTTGGACCTCCTCCCTCTCTGCATTCTGATATTATAGCAGTAAACTTATTCATGAGCTCCACTGACTAAAATAAAAAAAAAATCGATTAAAAGTAGTAAGTCGCAAAAACCCCGTTTTAAATACTTATTTTTAAAATAAACTGCATAGATATTTTGAAAGAGTAAAAAAAGTAAAGAGTATATTCTTGCTACTTTTTAAAATTTAGACTATTCAAATTTCAGTCACCCGATCTTCCCGATCTGAATCTTTCTGTCTAAGAGCTGCTTTAGACTTATTTTTAAATTTGAGTCTCATACTGCGCAGCGTTTTTGCTCCAGCGCTTGGCTCATCTAAAAAAACACAGCGATTATACAAGCATAAAACAATTTTTCTGGAAACTTTTTAACAAAATAACAACAATTTGATGGCACAAATGCCTAATTTCTTTCACTTGCAGTAAAGCGACCATAAACTATTCGACCGCAAAAGACTTCCGCATGTGTAAAATAAAACCTTCAAAGGCCTCTTGCTTCTCCAACCTCTTAAGCGTTTTCTTATAACTTTTCTGAAGGGCTTTTAGTTCAGCTGATACTTTAGCTCTGAAAAAAATCAGTAAGATATTTTAAGCCTTTCAACATTCAACAAATTGACTGATATGGTTCCAAAATGCAAAAATTGAACTTTCCAATGAACTAATTGAAATGAGACCATGAAAACCTCTCTAGAAACTGAGAGATACCTTCAGTGCAAAAACTTACAACTCTTGTTTTTGTTTCTCTTTCTTCTCCTCATCAATAATCTTTTCTACATCATCATCCTCATCATTTCCCATATCTCCTTCCGCTTTCCGCTTCCTGTTCAATTTCTCTCTGATTCTATTCATGCGTCCCTCTCTGTCATCATCAGCAGCCTTCGAGTCCTGAAAAAAGCCTGTCTAGTACTTCTTGTCGGAATACTCTTTTGTTACACCTAATATCACTGTGGCTTGCTCAAAGGACATGGATACCCTTGGTCAAAGCATGACAGAAATTAATTAAAAATACTTCCTCAGTTTCACGTTCCACAATCACCAAACAAAAATAATACTAGAAACACAAGCCTCTAACTCAAGTTCTTCCGGTCGTACAGCGGGTTCCTTACTCAGTGTTTCGTCTGCAAGAATATCGTGTGCACTTTTAGCCTTCAACTTCAGTTGCTGAAATCGCTACAGAAAATGCTACGGCTTTAATTTATTCTAAAGAATGAGTGAATTGTACCGCAGTTCGCAAGAGAAGGCGATAATCATAACCAATGACCCTACACTATAATTTCAAACTACTTGGAGAAACTCTTCATCAAAGCAAAAAGTTTCTGACCACCATGAAAAAAAGCTGTACAGAAGGAATAAAAAATAAAACTAGTGGGAAAAAACCGTCAAAGAGCACAAATTTATAAACGCTAAACTTACAGCGTTCGCTAAAATCAATTCTTGCTCTTCTTCCTCAGCTTCATCTCCAAAAGACAATAATCCTAGATTTCTAAAACACAAGGAAACTTATTGATTGTCGTTGCTTGAAAACTCGTAAAATTCAAATTAGTGAACTGAAGCATACTGATATTCATTTATGACAACTAAATACTGCAAAACTTATCGTCACTCCTAATTACCTCTTAAGCTCTTGCTTCTTTTCTTTTTTTTTATCCTTGTTCTTCTTTGTAGCTGGTTTCTGGCGGGGTAAAATGTCAGAAAATGGATTGTTTAAAATCACACAGCCCGTTACTTTGTGAACAATTAGTGGTTTTTCATTTTCGTCTGTCTCTCCTTCACCCAAACGAAGCATGTTAAAAAGAGTCGTCCCAACTACCTAAAATAAAATATTTCTTTATCAATACTCTGCAAAAAATTTTCGGAAATTATAAAAAGTGTACAGAAAACTGTCATCTGTGTCTCTGCTAAATTTAAAGTTTAAACATTATGAAATTATAAAAGTAGCATCAAAATACCTTGCCAAACAAAGTGTGCGTCTTATCTAAATCTGGAGCTGCATCAAGCGTGAAAAAAAACTGCGACCCATTTGAATCTTTCCCTGAGTTAGCCATGCCTAAAAGGCCTCTACGACAGAACTTTAAACGTTGGTGAAATTCGTCCTAAAAAGATGAAAGGCCATCAGTATTAATCTACAACTAACAATCAATTTTTCC